TTGGCGGTTTTCTATACTTGAAGAAAAATCCACTAATAACGCTTTCCAAGCTTGAGGAAAGACGACTTGGCAGTTTTCTATACTTGAAGAAAAATCCACCGATAACGCTTTCCAAGCTTGAGGAATGCCGACTTGGCGGTTTCTATACTTGATGAAAAATCCACCAATAACGCTTTCCAAGCTTGAGAAAAGGCGACGACTACTTTAATCGCTGAAATTTGTGTGATGGTTCGATTATCCCCGAACATGGGCCGCGGATGATTCATACCTTCAAGTCGATAATCCGACCATATTAGGTGCTTAAAATATCGACAAAATGACATTAATGCTTCTAGGGGCAAAATAGTAATTTTGGTGCCCTCCAACCGTCACTTTAGAATTTTCCGCATAAATTTACCGAAAAATTAACTGTCCAATTTGCGAGGAAAATCCTGCAATTTTAGTCAAAATGCCAGGAATATTCGCAAATAGCTATGTAGGGCAGGCACAAAGCCACCGTGTCACGAAAAAGATTCCCGTGACACAGAGCAGACTCCTGTGACGCGGCAGGGAGGTCCCGTCACGCGGAGCAAATTCTCGTGGCGCGGGAAATTAGCTGGCTGAAAATCAGTCAACTTGCATCTTTGACTCGTCAGACCATGTGCACAACACAATGTATTACCGTTACATGGTAACGGAAACCGTTGCACGGGAAACGGGATGCTTTTTCTTGCTTTAAATTTAAGCTTCTTTTGCCATTTCCGCACTCCCCTTTCTCCATTTTCTTTTTCCTTCAGCTCAAACCACCGAGCCACGGCAGAGCTTCACCGTCGCTCGGACCTGCTTCCCGTCAGACGGTGATTCCCCCCCCCGTGTCACGGCGTATCATTTTTCGTCTTCTTCTTATTTTTATTTTTGTTTTCGCTGAAACTTACTGCTGCTCGTTGCTGCTTACTGCCGTACTATTGTTGCTGTCGCCTGAAGTCGCCGCTGGTGTCGCCGGAGCTCCGTCGCGTCCCAGGTTCACCGTGACACGGAACCCGCTCACCGTGTCACGGCATTGACTAACCGTGTCGCGGTGGTCTACGCTGCTGTCTTCACGGTTTTTTCGAGCTTCGAGGCTCAAATTCTCATCACTTTTGCTCTAATTTTTTGCTACTTCCCTAATTTTCGATTCTCCACAAGGATCCATGTAAGTTTCCTTTGATTTTTGTCTCAAATTTTTTTCAAATGAGTAATTTCATGTAAAAACCTTGAAAAAATTAATATGGGGATTTTTGATTTTGAGGTTTTATGTTGAAATTCTTTCCATGGATTTACTTGTATATGTATGTGTGTTTGTAAGAAAGTTAAGACAAAAATTGCATGATTCGATGGAGAATTGAGCAAAATCACTCTTTTTTGTACTACTTTTTGTGAAACTGAACTGCTATTCGTCGCTCCCATTTTACCGGGTAACGCTCCCTTACTTGAATGGACACTATGCCCTTTATGCAATTTGTGTTATAAAAAGGACCTTGTTCCCCATTTGGACACATTACATGAAACGGTCCCCTCACATTACGACCTTGCTATCCCGAGCCTCCCAAAATCGGTCCCCACGACCTTAAAAACAAATCGCTCCCCACAACCACCTTAATTTTATTTTTTTTAAAAAAAATAATTAATCGTGAAATTTTCCGACGGGTCTTGGGTCATGGACGACGAGTGGAACATTCGTACGCCGAATAATGCGTCGGAACATTCTATAAGTTTTTTTTTTTTCTGCAAATAGGACATCCGCCTAAAATTTCCGGATGTCCTAGGTACATCCGCCTAAAATTTCTGGATGTACCATGGAACATCCGGAAATTTCAAGCAGAAGTAGGGATCCGCCTGAAAAATCCGGATCTTCCATGGTACATTTGGAAATTTTAGGCGGAAGTACCTAGGGACATCCGGATATTTTAGGCTGATGTCCCTGTTTATTTTTTTAAATGTTAAGTACGTTTATTTATTTTTTTTACTGTTAATTAAGTTTGTTTTTTTTTTGTGGTCTTGTAATTATTATTGTGATTTAATATTTGATAATTAATGTAATTTTTTTGTATTAATATGATTCTTAGTAATATGATTATTTTTTGTTACATTATTATTATTATTATTATTATTATTATTATTATTATTATTATTATTATTATTATTATTATTATTATTATTATTATGATCATCATCATCGTAATTGTTGTTGTTATTGTTGTTGTTGTAGTTGATATTGTTCTTGTTGTTGTTGTTGTTGATATTGTTATTATTAATTAGTATAAATATAATTTTAATAATAATAATAATATTATTATTATTATTATTATTGTTATTATTATTATTATTTAGTAATTAATGTTATGGTATTATTGTTTTGTATTTGTTGTTATAATTGTTTATTATTATTTTTAATATTAATATTAATATTTTTATTGTTTTGTATTTGTTGTTATTATTATTATTATTAGTATTGTTGTTATTATTATTATTATTATTAGTATTGTTATTATTATTATTATTATTATTATTATAACTATTATTATTATTATTATTATTATTATTATTATAACTATTATTATTAGTATTATTGTTTTTATTATTATTATTTTGACAGAAACCATGTTTTGTTTAATTTGTATAGGATATGCAATCTGAGGAAGGCGGTGACGGTGTGAATTATAGTGGGAATTTTATCACGGATACGTTTTTTCCTACATTTGACGATGCAGTTACATGGGCTGATGGTGTTTCCATAAAATTGGGATTTTTTTGGTGAAATCATCTTACAACAAAACCAGAGATGGTTGGCCGTACCGGTATTTGCAATGTGATCGGTTACGAAGGAGCAAGCCGAGAGATTTGGAGAACGCGATACGGAAGGATACCAAAACCAAAGCTAATGGTTGTCCATTCTACATCAAGATATATTATGAAGTCAACACCGACAGTTGGAAGATCATTGCGAAAAATGATCACACCGGGACACATAACCACCCAATGATTGTGTACCAAGAGGGTCACCGTAAAGTGAGCGGATTGAGTCCGGGTGCAAAACAGGTTGTGCGGGACATGAAAAAGTCCAAGGTTGCTCCCCGTAACATCATGTCCACTATTGCCAAGCAATTTCCTGATGATCATCCAAACATCCGACACATTTACAATTGCCGAAATGACTTCAGGATGGAGATGTCCGAAGGAAGAGGAGTTGTTCAGCAATTTCTTCATTTAGCGAGAGAGAGTAAATACATTTACTGGGTCACAAACGATGATCACAACGTTTTGAAACATGCATTTATGGTGCACCCGATCATGGTCAACGTGCTCCGCACATACCCACATAAGTATGGATTCTATTTACAAGACCAATCAATATAACATGCCTTTCTTTGAGATAGTAGGTGTGACACCGACAAACCAGAATTATCTAGTTGGATATGTTTTCATGCGCGACGAGTGCACGGCTAGCTATCGGTGGGTGTTGTAGAGATTAAGGGAATTGATTGGGTTTGATAAAGAGCCATCTGTATTTATTTCAGACCGTGATCTTGGGCTATGTGCGGCTTTGAGAGAAGTATTTCCAGGGACGTCATATTTACTCTTTCTATGGTGACGAAGATGACAAAGATTTTCGGAAACAAGAAGGTTGGTGTCAGTTGTAGAGCCGAGAGATGGTTCAAAATCGTGAATGCAACAACACAGGCGGAGTATGATCATGTTCTAGCTGCCATGCAAGTGAGGTGGGGAAAATATCCGGCAGTGATTCAGTATGTTCAGAGAACACGGCTTTGTCATAAGGAGAAATTTGTGAAATTTTGGACGAACTAGGTTCTTCAATTTGGTAACACCACCAACTGCAAAGTTGAGAGCCAACATTCAGCAATGAAAACTTGGTTTGAATCATCCACAGGTTAGTTGTATTGTTTTATTAGTTGTTCTCGTTGTTACGTAATTGTAATTATAATACTGCGAATTAAAATGTATTTACTAATTAGAATCATTGGCAGGTTCTTTGGATACCGTGTGGGCCCGAGTCCATTGTATCGGTAATCACATCATACAAATTCGTAATGACTTGGAGGCATCAAGGTCTAAAATTGGTCAGATGTACAGACAGTTTCCACTGTCACGTATAAATGGCAAAGTGTCTCAACATTGCTTGAAAGTACTGGATAACAAGACGAAAAGGATGCGGGATTTGAGTTACCAGGTCCATGAACGGTGTGGATGTGCTATGTGTGTGACCTATGGTCTTCCATGTGCTTTCCAGATACATGATTTGATAGTTGCACATACAGGATTGTATAGCAGCCAAATTCATTCTTTTTGGAAGACACTGGTTATTGGTGATGGTGTTAACGTTCCTGAAGTGGTTAATGATTTGACCGAGGAGGCTGCGCATTTTCGGTCCCTAATTGATGAAGTCATGGAAAGTGACCCGGCCGTACGTCGAAATGTAACGCGAATCATTGAAGAGGAGCTACATCCAGATCATTCACACCTTGAAGAACCACATATCAACCTCAACACTTGTGGTCGACCGAAGAAAAATGACACCAGGCGTGATCGTAGCTATTTCGAGCATGTGAGCCGTCAACACACTCAACGTGGTGGTGACCCAGAACCAGGTAATATTAAAATTCTATATGTAATATTAAAATATGTAAACTTAATACTTGTAGCTTTACTAATAATTTATCTTTTAATTTTGTGTTGTAGATCCAAGTGACATTAGTCAATGCAGGTATTTGAACTTGCTTCCAGCCCCAATGTTGTCGTACATTTCGTCTTGGAAGGATGTCATTGGTGATGGGAAATGTGGCTTTCGTTGTGTCGCCAATGAATAAAGTGGGGGGCGATCGTAATGCAGGATCAGCTCCGTACGGTAGCCAGTTCACCTCACGGTCAGTAAATGCATCAATTCTAGTACGAAAAGCTAACAGGCGCTCCAGGTTCTTGCTAGGACATCCCGCTCCAACATCCCAAGCAGACGCACGAGGCATTTAAAGGTTCCACGTCAAGGTACCCTTCTGTGGCCGAAAGCACAGAAAGTACTCATAAATCCACGTTTGCAGAAGCATGAGACAACCAGCAATCGAATCAGCACCTTTCCGTGATGCCGTGCCCAATTGCCGATACAAGTAGGCCAGTGCAGCTGTTCCCCAAGCATACTCGTTAATAGGGACATCCATGTAACATAGCTCGTGGAGGAAGGAAGGATGCGTACGGTTACCACTCTTGTCTACAAACAGTGTACCTCTAAGCACTAACCACAAGTATCCATCAAGCTGGTCACTAAAATCCCGGTCAACCGCCAATGTCGACTCAAAAATCTTATCAGTCAACACCCCACTACCCTGCCAAATGGTCTTTGTGCCGCAAATCTCAGACAGATCATCTGGAGTCATATCCATGGTGATCGAGCACGCGTCCCGTAACACGTCCATGCTAGGAGTAGTGGTGACCATATTGCCTTCGACCCGTAACCCAAGTATGTTGTACACGTCGTGCAACAAGATCGTAATCTCCCCAAATGGCATGTGAAAGGTGTTCGTATCTGGCTGCCACCTCTCAACAAAAGCAGAAATCAACGGCCAATCAAGTCTCTTAAACATCAGGCCGGGCAAGTGAGACAACCAACTAGCATCAATCGTCGCGATGTCCTCCACAGATTGACGACCTCACCAAGTGAACAAGTCAGAACATAACTTTGTCCTACTCAAACAGCGCAAAACACTACGCTCCTGCTCCATCCAGATATACCGTGCCACGTGACCGCCAAAACTAGGGATAACAGACCCATCCTCAGGCCCACCCGGCATCGGTTCCAGCACTAACCATGCCTCTGCAGAGCTGGAAGTAGGCTGACTCGATCCACTACCAACAAATCTCCCAAACTGACCCCTATATACCATATGGTAATCCTGAGGGTCCTGTTCTTCATCCCGGTCACCAGCATGACTAGCCGAACATTCGTCTTCCTCGTCAGATATGGGTGCTCCACTTGCAGAGTACAAGGGCCGACTACTACTAGACTGTTGGTCTCCCGACCAACCACTAGTAGACCCGTATTGCTGCTGCTCCGGCTGAAGCGGTGCTGAACGAGATGTCTGTCTCCTAACAGACGTATTCAGACATCGTGATATTGCATGTCGAGCACCAGAACCCTCGATCTACATAAAATAAGAAAATAATTCGATTTTAGTAATAATAATAACAATAATAATAATAATAATAATAATAATAATAATAATAATAATAATAATAATAATAATAATAAACAATAATCAAAACAACAACACCAACAATCTTAATCGTAATAAAAACAACAAAAAAAATTAAAATTAACAGCAACAACAACAATAACCATAGAAGGTCAAGAATAATAACAACAACAACAAATAAAATAAAAAACAACAACAATAACCATAATAACAATAATAACAACAACAACAACAACAACAACATCAAATACAAATTAACAACAATAACAATAACCATAATAACAATAATAATAACACTAATATCAACAACAATAATACTAATCATAATTAAAAATATTAACAATAGTACTACTAATAACAATAATAATATTATTATTATAACAACAACAACAACAACAACAACAAAAAATAAATTAAACAACAACAATAACTATAAAAACCCTAATATCAAATTAGTTTAATAATAATACTAGTCACATTTTTAAAAATAATAACACTACAAAATATGCTAACCATAATAATAACAATAATAATAATAATAATAATAATAATAATAATAATAATAATAATAATAATAATAATAATATCAACAATAATAATAACAATAATAATAATAATAATACTAACCATAAAACTTCAAAATAACAACAAAAATAACAAAATCCAAAAAAAAATAAAAATAAATTAACAACAACAACAATAACCATAATAACAATAATAATAAAAACCATAATATCAACAAAATAATAAAAATGATCATATTTTTAAAAATATTAACACTACAAAATATACTAACCATAATAATAATAATAATAATAATAATAATAATAATAATAATAATAATAATAATAATAATAATAATAATAATAATAATAATAATAATAATAATAATAATAATAATAATAATAATAATATCAACAATAATAATAACAATAATAATAATAATAACCATAACACTTCAAAATAACAACAAAAATAACAAAATCCAAAAAAAAAAAAATTAAAATTAACAATAAATAATTACAAAACCATATTATTAACGGGAAAAAAAACAAAAAAAAAAATTGGAAATTTCGCCCAAAAAATCCGGAAGTTCCAAGGAGGATCCGCCTGGAATTTCCGGATCCTCCTTGGAACTTCTGGATTTTCTAGGCGGATGTTACTTCTGCCCAAAAAATCCCATCCGCCCAAAAAATCCGGAAGTTCCAAGGAAGATCTGGAAATTTCAGGCGGATCCTCCATATAACTTCTGGATTTTTTTGGCGGAAGTTCCACGATCCATAATTAAAAAAATAAAAAAAAATTACCTGCTCGCCTCCGTCGCCGCCGCCACCGCCGCTGCCTCCACCGCCGCCAAAGCTCCTCCCTCCGAATTTCAGCCTTATCCGCCTCGAATCACCCATTTTTTTGTGTTTTTAATGATTGTTGATTTTTTTAAAAATGAAGAAAAAAATTTGGAATTTTTTTTTTCCAGATTTTAAGAGTGTTTTAGAGAGTTAGAGAGTAAGAGAGCTAGAGAGAGAAGTAAGAAAGTGAGAAATGTTGGCCGGGAAGTGGAAAAACCGTATTTAAATGTTAGGGGTAAAATTGGAATTTCAAGTCAAAAAGGGAGCGTTATCCGGTAAAATGGGAGCGATGAATAACAACACCCTTTGTGAAATGATATTCTTGTTGTTCATGTTACTTGTTTGCACTTGAAATGGTGAAATATCGGTGGTAGATCTTGTAAAATATGTCATGATGTGTTGATTCATCATTTTTGTGCAATTTCGAAACATATTTTGTGTATGTACTATATTGTCATGGAGAACATAGTATCATGCGGCTAGGAGAACTGTAGTATTAGTTTGTCATGGAGAAACTAAATACTATAAATAATTCCATTATTTTGCCAATTTTTAGCCTTGAGGTAAAAATTTAGCGTATAATGCGATAAACAACTAAATAACTTAGGAAGTGATGCTAAGCATTTAGATTTTTTATTAAAATGCAACTCGAATTAAAAGTCTTAAGAAATGATGCTAAGCATTTTGATTTTTATTTTTATAATAGCATGCCTAGGCGACGGGATCGCGATCTTTCCACCATGGTCGGCGTCAGGATTTTCGGGAGGACACTCCCACTATTCCCGAGGGTATGGACGACGATGCCTTAGAGTCCGAGCCTCGGGCTTCTACGAGTAGAGGTAGGTGGGTTCCACCTCTGTGGACTCCAGACCAGTTGGTTTTCTGTCGTGAGAACCACATTTCTCATCGCCCACTCTCCAGCATAATCGACGGCACGCTTCGTCACCACGGTTCTGGATCCAGAGATTTGATTCCTCGAATTCACCAGATAATTACGAGGGATCCTGCTACAAACGCCTTATGGAAATCGGCTAGTTTAGTGGATTTTTACTCGGCGGTCGTAGGGTTTCGCAGCCCCCGGGGTTGCGGTGCGATGGTTGTTCGCGCATTGTTGGAGTATTTTCGGGATACTACCAACACCTTTCATTTTGCTTGGTGGGAGATGACAGGGACCCCTCTGGACTTCAGAATGATTAGTGGGTTGCGCTTCACTGACCGGGCCGTAGCTCAAATGTCTGCTTTCTTGGGGAGCGGCTGAGGCAGCCAATTTGATAGGTCCGATCGTTCAGCATGTCAGGACCCGACCAGTGTCTCGAGGTGGTCCTAGGAGCGGGCGATCGGAGCTGGCTTTAGTTCTAGCTCGTGGCTTCAACATGGAGGAGACATCGGCTGAGCAGCGAGTGCAGATCTTCATTTTGATTTTGATCTCCATGACTCTTTCTCCTGATAGGAGTTCACGCGCACTCCTTTTCTACCTCCCTTCTTTAGTCAGGATCAGTGAGATAGGATCCTTTAGTTGGGCCAGCCTCGGATACGCCTACCTTCTCTTGTCGTTACGTCATGGATGTCGGCAGCTCAACGACGAGTCTCCCATCACTGTCTACGGTCTGTGGAGAGTCGTAGAGGTGATGATCTTTTCCTCTTCTTGTTTTATTTTATTTTGTTCGACTCACGTGCTCAAATATTACTTTTCATTGCAGATATGGTTCTACGAGTACTTCCCAATCTTGGCTCCTCGACGGCGTTGTGGAGCGGTTCATGATTTCTTTGTCCGGGCCAGCTGGCGTGACCGAGGAGAGTCACGGGTGGAGTCTGTCTCTGCGCTGCGCGGGCTGCTACGCCGAGGCACCTCTTCTGTTTGCGTAAGAATTAGTTTTGTTGCCTGTTATTTTCCCTTTGACGTTATTTCCAGTGTTTCATGCCAACTTTTTATGGTTTTCAGGTTGCCATTGATGTCCAGTATCTTCCTTGGGCCGGGATGACTAATCTTCCCGAGGCCTTGTGTCTTTCAGCGCACCGCACCATTGTGGTTGGTACCGGACGCTTTGTCTGGTATTTGAGGGAGCGTGTCGTTCGTCAGCATAGCGGTGATCGCTTTGTGGTGCCCTCATCTCCACCGGAGTCGATGCTGGACTCGTGCCTGCTTACGGAGTTGATAAACAGGGGAGAGAGCTACACTTTTCCTTGGCAGGAGCTTGTGCACATGGAGGGTGATTACGCGCAGGACTTGCTTCCCTCTCTGGCTCCTCCACCCCGTCTTCCTGAGGTATGATTTCTTTTAAGGATTTTTGTTACTAGTCTCTATTTAAATAGTCGAATAACTTGATTATTCGATCATATTTTCAGATGACTGTTCGCCTTATGGGGAGGATCGAGATTCCGCCTTAGCCTGTCCGCTACCCGGGGCAGATTGGTATTACCAAGGACCATATTGCTGAGGCGCCAGAGGGTTACAGACAGGCGCAGGACTCTCTGCCCGAGGTCTTTGAGCCGGTAAGTTTTTTGATGCATAACTCATCTTTTTATCACCTCTTGTTACTGATTTTTCTTTGTTTTATCCTCATCCTAAGCGCTCGGAGATGATGGGATTCATGAAGCTGGTTGACGCCCTGAAGTACTTCATCATCAAGCTTCGACGTGGTGCGAGCTATCGGACCAGTTCTAGCGATGTTCTTGAGGTAGCCTCATTTTTCCCACTTCTACCATTTGTTTTATTTTGCATTTGTTGACGCCTTTTGATTTTGTATCTTTCAGAAGCAACGGAGGTCCCGCTCGCGCTCAAGGCATAGAGGCTCGGACGAGGAGGAGCTTGGTCGTGGTAGACGATCTCCTGCAGTTCATCGGCATTCTCAGTCTCAGCGAGAGCCTCAGATTACTCAGCCGTTTTAGGAGGCCCAATGGCAGCAGCCTTAATCTTCCCAGCGCTTTCCGGGTCAGAGTCGGGGGCAGTGGCAGTCGTTTTCACAGCATGAGTTTAGGCCTGTTTTGACTCCCGTGGATCCTTGTTTATTTTCAGCTCCATCGTTTGGGATTCCTCCACCGGTG